ATGAAAGAATTCCCTGCACTCTTGTGTTAATAGCAGTTCAACTCACAATAGCTAACATTTGGAATCAACCTAGATGTCCATCAGCTGATGGGCAGACATATCCACCCATACACACACACACATATACCTATATACCAAATGTATATATCCATGATGAAATATTACTTAGTATTAAAAAAATGAAATATATCTACAACAGAATGAATACAACTGGAAATCAGTGTGCTCAGTGAAATAAGCCAAACCCAAAAGATAAATATCAGATTTTTTTCTTATTTGTGATAGTTAATATAACAGTATAAAAATTATGTGGATGTCATATAATTTGGCAATAAGTTATAAATATTGTTTCACTTAATCATACCATGTGAATGACAATATACTCTTCTTTCCCACATTAAAAGAAAGATAGGACTCTTAGGGGTGCTAGTAATGTTTTGTTCTTGGGTGTTGGCTAGGAGTGTGATCAGAGAACAAAGAACTCATCTGTAAACTTACATGCATTTCTTGGTATGTTTATTATATTTCAGTAAAATGCTTTTTTAAAAAAATAGATGCACAGGAACATTCATTCACTGTGTATTCTGGTTCAGGGGGTCTGGAGGGTGCTTGAATGTCAATGTTTTAATTAGCTCTTCAAATAAAGTGACACCTGTTTCACTAATAACCAGCCTTAGTTCATATAAACTCTCATTAATCGCTTCATTCCTCCTTTTTTGACTATCACAACAATATTTTAGTATTATGGTATTTTGTCTTTTTTCTTCCACAGGAATTTATTTTTTCTACATAGGAAAACAAAAAAAATTTTTTAATTTGCTTTCACATTTGCAATTGAAATGTGAGATAACCAATTATGACGAAATGTCCACTTATAAAAATTGTACATCTTTTGCTCTACAACAGAGTATTCTTAACAGAGAGAGACCATTTGGATACAGGGATGTGGGAATACTTTTTGTCAAGGCTCAGCATTTGTTCAACATGGCAGAACACATACCCAGGAAAAACAGGAAGAATGTGGGAGGGACTTTAGTAGTGAACATCAATATGTTATACATCAGAAGTTGTATCTGGGTGAGAAACCATGTAAATGGAAGGCATGTGGGAAGGGCTTTAGTGCTTCTTCATATCTTGTTCAACATCAGAGAACTCACACTGTTAAGAAAAGTATGAATGTAAAGAATGTGGGAAGGCCTCTAGTCAAGGCTCAGCCTGTGTTAAACATGGGAGAAGGCATGCTGGTGAGTAACCACATGAACATAAGGGATGTTGGAAGGCCTTTCTCAGCAGCCATCAACGTATTGTACATCAAGAGTACTCATACTGGTAAGAAGCCACCTGTGTGTAGAAAATGTGGAAAAGCTTTGTAGTAGCTCATACTTTGTTCAACACCAAAGGATCCATATTGGTGAGAAACCCTATGAAGGTAAGGAATGTGGGAAAGCTCTTATAGCCTATGGGAGACTTATTCAGCATCAGAATACTCACACTAGTGAAAACAGTTTGGGTGTAAGGAATGCTCAAAGGCCTTTAGTACCTTTTCATATGGTGTTCAACATGAGAGAATTCACTCTGGTGAGAAGCCCTATGAGTGTGAGGGATGTGGAAAGGCCTTTTCTGTGTCTGGACAACTTACTTACCAAAGTATCCATACTGGTGAGAAGCCATGTGAAGAGAATGTGGAAAAGCTTTTTGTAGTAGCTCATACCCTGTTCAACACCAAAGGATCCATAATGGTGAGAAACCCTATGAATGTGAGGAATGTGGGAAAGCCATTAGCTGCTCTCCATACCTTGTTCAACACAAAAGACTTTGTACTGTTGAGAAATCCTATGAGGGTACGGAATGTGGCAAGGCCTTCAGCACTGGTGCATAGCTTGTTCAGCATCTGAGAATTCACACTGGAGAGAAACCATATGCAGGTGAGGAATGTGGAAAGACTTTCAGTCGTGGGAATGTGGAGTCTTTCATGTGCGGCTCATTGTTCAGCATCTGAGAACTCATGTTGGCAAGAAAAACTCAAAATGCAAAGATTGTTGGTAGATTTCCAGAAGATATTTTCATTTTTCTGATACAGATGCCCCTTGTAGTGGGATTCTGTCAGTATAAACCCATCTTGTGTTGAAAATGTCAGACATTGAAAATGCACTTAATACAACACACATAACCTGCTGAATATCATAACTTAGCCTAGTCTGTCTGAAGCATATTCAGAATATTTATAGTAGGCTACACCCGGGAAAAGTTATCTAACACAAAGTCCATTTTATAATAAAATATTGAATATCTCATGTAACTTACTGAAAAGATTAAAGTTTACAGTGCGGTTTCTACTGAATACATATCAGTTCACACAATCATAAAGCCAAAGAATCAACACTCAAACCATTGTAAGTCAGGGCCTGTCTGAATTAGAGAATTTATAATGTAATTCAGAAAAAAAGGCTTCATTTGTCATTCTTGTGTTTAAAGTATTAGAATAATCATACCAGTGGACTTTTTGGGAAAGATAATAAACATTATTTAATGTTCTCAAGGTTGAAAGCATGAAATTTTATACTTAGATATAACAGGGGACCAGTATAGTTAACAAACAGGAGAGCCAGTGTGCTTACCACTATGGGGTATTGTTTTCTTTCTTTCTTTCTTTCTTTTTTTTTTTTTTTTTTTTTTTTGACAGGCAGAATGGACAGTGAGAGAGAGAGAGAGACAGAGAGAAAGGTCTTCCTTTGCCGTTGGTTCACCCTCCAATGGCCACCATGGCCGGCGCGCTGCGGCCAGCACACCGTGCTGATCCAATGGCAGGAGCCAGGTGCTTATCCTGGTCTTCCATGGGGTGCAGGGCCCAAGCACTTGGGCCATCCTCCACTGCACTCCCTGGCCAGAGCAGAGAGCTGGCCTGGAAGAGGGGCAACCGGGACAGAATCTGGCGCCCTGACTGGGACTAGAACCTGGTGTGCCAGCGCCACAAGGCGGAGAATTAGCCTAGTGAGCCGCAGCGCCGGTCGGGGTATTGTTTTCAAAATGATGATTAATAGAACTTGCATTCTTTGCTCAGTAATCTTAGTTTCATTATTTTTTTCTACCTGTTAGCGAAACTTTGATCGAAAAAACCCTACAGACGTAGTTAGTCTAGCAATGCCTCCATTCGTCCAGTTTAGAATTGTAGGTGAATCTTTCTGATAAAATTTTGTAGAAGGAAAGGAACAGGAGAAGATATTCATGTGGAAATTACCTCTTAAACTGAATCAAGTTTTTGGAAGATACTCACTTTTAATGTGTGCGAAAATGTCAACAGCCTGTGATCTACACTGTCCGAAGTTAAAAAGAAATTGGAAGTCAGTAATACAGTAGCAAAGCCAACTACTCCTTTAAACATCCCTTTCTTGACTTTTTTGCTATGAACATTTCAACAGAGGAAAGTGGAAAGGAGAGCAAAATTGCCACCGTCTTTGATAACATTTTACCTGATTCATTTTTTATTTCTGTTGCTTTATGAAGAGAGGTGTCGCCCTCTGTTCTTGAAAGGACACCAGTCTCCTTGTGGGGATTCTACCCTCACGACTTCATCTAAACCTAATTATCCCCCAAATGTCTCTCCTTCAAATGGCATCACGTTGAGGATTGGGGCTTCAGCATATGCATCTGGAGGAGACATACTCAGTCTGTAACGTTCTTCCTTCAATAGCATTCTTCCCAAAATTAGCCAAGACTTTCTGGAGAAATGACTACTTCCAGGAATGGACAGAGGTGATTACAGGTGATTGTGGAACAGCTTGGGACAGAGAGCAATGATTCTTTAAAAAAATTAGGATTTTTTCAAAGACACAAAATAGCCAGAGATTCCCATGGGCATGGGTTGTGATGGTCTGAGTATGAAATGCAGGGTCTTAGTCCACCCGTACAAGGATGGACTGGGTCCGAGGAAAAGTAAGTGCGCCGCTCGCCCATTCCCCAGCCTCCTGATCCCAGAGACAATCAGACGCAGCGGGGAGTCAAGTCTAGCAACAGGTAACAGAGCCTTTTAAAGCACAAAACTGCAGAGTCATTGGGGCAGGGCTAAGGACCAACCAGTCACTTAAACGGTCATTTTACGGGACGATTTCTATAGGACTAGCCATATGTCTATACACTTGTTACTAGTTTTGTTACCTCCCCTGATGTTGCATGGCCGATTAGCTTCAGTGGTAAACAACTTTGGATTTCACCCACCTTACTTCCTCTGGGCACCATCTGTGAATTGCTTTGTGTAACTAATTTCCCCACATGAAAATTGTGGTTTTTAGTACAGGGCTCAGAAAACTAAAATATAGATTAAAAAAAAAAAAGACAAGAGCAGACCACTCAAGAGAAAATCTTAGCAATAGTTTGTTTGGGATATTCAAGGAATTTTACTTGTTGTCTTTCCAAAGGACCAAAGATAACATGTGCTTGCAAGAGTGATGAGAAAGCCCAAACTTTAGCAAAAAAAAAAAAAAAAAAAGGTTAATAGCTAAAAAAACACCTGGTGAAGTCTTACCTTCACCACAACCATGCTTCTGCTCATCCCAAGAATGAATAGACATTAAAAATCAGTTTAATACATGGTCTCTTCGCTGACCTCAACAGGATAAAGCTAGAAAAAAAAAAAAAGAGCAGGCCGGTGCTGCGCCTCACTAGGCTAATCCTCTGCCTGCAGCGCCAGCACCCTAGGTTCTAGTCCTGGTTGAGGTGCCGGGTTCTAGTCCCGGTTGCTCCTCTTCCAATCCAGCTCTCTGCTGTGGCCCAGGAGTGCAGTGGAGGATGGCCCAGGTCCTTGGGCCCTGCACCTGCATGGGAGACCAGGAGGAAGCACCCGGCTCCTGGCTTTGGATTGGCACAGCACTGGCCGTAGCGGCCATTTGGTGAGTGAAGCAACAGAAGGAAGACCTTTCTCTCTGTCTCTCTATAACTCTGCCTGTCAGAGAAAGAAAGAAAGAAAGAGAAAGAGAGAGAGAGAGAGAGAGAGAGAGAAAGAGAGAAAGAAAGAAAAAAGAAAAGGAAAAGAAAGAAAGAAAAAGAAAAAAAGAGCAAAGGGAAAACTGGAAAACTCATAACTTTGTAAAAATTAAATAACATAATCAGTATATCAAAGAAAAACATCACAAAAGAAGCCATAAAATAGAGGTAAAATGAAAATACAACCTACCAAAATGTATGGGATGTGGTCAAAGCAGTCCTAAACGGCAATTTTACAGCTATCAAGCTTGTATTAAGCAAGAAGACCTCAGATCAGAAATCTCATTCTGGGGCTGTTTGACATGGCAGTTAGGATCATGCTTGGGGCACCCACATCCCGTTTTTGTGCACCTGGGTCGGGTTCCAGCCCCTCTCCTGATTCAACAGTCTGCTAATGCATAGCGCAGGAGGCAGCTGGTGATGGCTCACGTACTTGGGGACCTGCCCTCCACGTGGGAGGCCTGGAAGGAGCTCCCAGCTCCCAGCTCTGACCTGACTCAGCTCTGCTTGTTGCGGGTATTTGGGGAATAAATCAGCAGACGGGCACTCTTGCTCTTTTTCTCTTTTTCAAATAATTTTTTAAAAAGTTGTATCTAACTTTACAACTTAAAGAACTAGTAAAAGAAAAACAAACTGAAACCCAAAACTAGGGCAGGCATTTAGCTTGGCAGCTAAGATACCATTTGGGCTGCCTGCATCCCATACTGGAGTACCTGATCTGCGTCTCAGTTCCACTTCTGATCCGGCTTCCTGCTAATGCACACCCTGGGAGGCAGCCAGGGATAGTTCAAGTAGTTGAGTCCCTGATATTCACGAGAGAGACATGGATTGAGCTCCCAAATGTTGGTGTTAGCCTGACCCAGGCCTGGCTGTTGCAGTCATTTGAGGAGTGAACAAGTAGATTGAAAATCTCTATCTCTTTTTCAAATAAAATTTAAAAAAAGCCAAAGCTAGTAGGAGGAAGGGAGGAATAAAGACATTAGAGATACCTAGAGAACAGAAAAACAACATAGAGTCAGCAAAACCAAAGTCAGTGGTTCAAAAAGATGAACAACGCCGGCGCCGCGGCTCAATAGGCTAATCCTCCGCCTTGCGGCACCGGCACACCGGGTTCTAGTCCCGGTCGGGGCGCCGGATTCTGTCCCGGTTGCCCCTCTTCCAGGCCAGCTCTCTGCTGTGGCCAGGGAGTGCAGTGGAGGATGGCCCAAGTGCTTGGGCCCTGCACCCCATGGGAGACCAGGAGAAGTACCTGGCTCCTGCCATCGGATCAGCGCGGTGCGCCGGCCGCAGCGTGCCGGCCCCGGCGGCCATTGGAGGGTGAACCAACGGCAAAAGGAAAACCTTTCTCTCTGTCTTTCTCTCTCACTGTCCACTCTGCCTTTCAAAAAAAAAAAAAAAAAAAAGATGAACAACTATAACTAAACTTTAGCTATTTTTACCAAGGAAAAAGAGAGAAAAACAAATTACTAAAACAATTAGAAACAAGAGCAGGGACTATTACTGATTTTACAGAAATAAAAACCATTACAAGAGGGGCCAGCATTGTGTTGTAGCGGGTAAAGTCACTGCACCTGGGAAAAGCAGCAGAAGTCGGAGCAACGGCTGAAGGCCTTCCCACATTCACTGCCCCCCAAAGGGCTGTTCGGGGAGAGTTTCCCACAGTCATTGCCCTGGGAAGGCCTTTCTCCAGCGTGAACTCTCCGGTGTTTAATCAGGCTGGGGTTGCCGGCAAAGGGTTTCCCAGGAGACTCACACTCACAGCATCCATCAGGTTTTACTCTGTTATGAACACTCTGGTGTTGAATGAGATGAGTGGCATGGCTAAAACTATTCCACATCTCTGCGCGCATAAGATATTTCGTCTGATTCTCTGATGCCCAGCAGGTGTGAATCTGCACCCAGAATCACGGCGCTCGTTATGCCCTGTGCAGTGTGCAAATCTCCCCCGGCTTCAGTGCTCTTGTCCACACCGGGCGTGAAAGTCTCCCGTGGCCCCCAAGGCCTTCCCACCCTCCCCACCCTCCCTACGTGTGCAAAGCTTCTCTGATGTGTTCTCTCTGTAGGTTCCCACCGGCCAGGCCTCGTCTCCTCCCTTCCAAGGGCTTGCTCACCTGCTGCTGCACCTGCTGCTGCTGTGACAGTTTTACACTGAACTCAGATCTGCTCCCAGATGCTTCAACACACACATGGTTTGTGCCCGGGATATGAGGCCTGATGTGCAGCCAAGTGTGAAATGTCTTTCACACACACGTCACAGGGGTAGGTTTCCTGGGTGGACACAGCTGCCTTGGGATTCCTGTCCTGTGACACTCCTTCTACAGAGACACTTGGCTGAGAAGGTAACTCCTCACCCTCTGATCCACAGTGACGACCTGAAAGCAGAGAAATGCCGGCCAAGTTCACGTAAACTCTGATAACAGCAAACGGCCCCATTGCATGTGCCCATCTGACCCAGGGATGAGTTCACGGGATTGTTGGAAACATACGAAACCTTGGGTAATGGTAAGGAGTGGTCCACGCGGCAGTGCTGGCCTGGTCGGATCACAAACTGGGAAAGCCCAAGAACACAAGGATGGGGTTCAGTGCTGGGTGGTGAGACAGGATCTCCAGCTCATGTCCCTACCAAGACCTTTAAGCGGGGCCTTTGCCTACAGCAGGAATGTCCAGACCCATGAAAATCTTGTTGCAGCCGAGCTCTATACCAGAACTTCTAGGCAATGTGTGCGTCTGATGACACCTGCAGCGTAGGCCACCGTGGGCAAGTGCCACAGCAGAAGCTGTGGAGTCGGCCTGAGGCCACGAGGGTGGAGCACGGGCAGAGATGACCATGGGCAAGGCGTCACGGTGAGAGGGGCACACTTGGCGTTCTCTGGGTGGTCCTGAGCCGGAAGCTGGCCGTTACAAATCACAATACTCCCACCTTTGTTGGGACAGAAAATGCAGCGACTGTCTCAGGTGACGATCACGACTTTCACAGGGACGCGCACCCTTGCACCATTGGGCTCTTTTGTTTTATTTTATTTCATCTTCTTCAAAAATCAGTGCAATTTATTTTTAATTTCTAATTGACAACATCACGTGAAGGGATCATGTACAACATGGTTTTGCAATACGTGCGGGTTGTGGAATGGCTAAAGCGATCTAGTTCATATATGTCTTATCTCACATAGTTACGGTCTTTGTGGTCAGAACACCTACAATCTACTTTCTTGACATGCTCCAAGAAAACAGTGTGCTGTTGTTATCTATGGAAAACAGAGTTCTTCAAGTCCTTCACCTGCCTAACTGAAATTCTGGAGCCTTTGATCAGCACTTCCTCTCTCCGCCCGCTTCCCACCACGGCCCCTGCACCTGCCCGGCCACCGTTCTGCACCCTGCCCCTGCCCGGCCAGCGTTTGCAGATTCCACCTGTTGTGGACGACAGCCCTTTATCAAATGTCTTTTGCAAATATTTCTTTACGCTCTGAGGCTTGACTTCTTATCCTGTTGACGGTGTCTTTGGCAAAGTGGAAGTTTTTCATTTTAATGGAGTCCAATTTAGTAATTGTTTCTTTCTTGGATCATGCCTTTGTGTTAACTGGTAAAAGTCCTAGCCAAACCCAAGGCCATCTAGATTTTTTTCTGTGCTATCTTCTGGGAGTTTTATAGATTTGCATTTTACATTTAGGTTTATAATGCACTGAGATAGTATTTTTTTAAAAGATTTACTTATTTATTTGAGAGGCAGAGTTACAGACAGAGAGAGGGAGAAAGAGAGAGAGCGCGCACGAGCGATCTTCATCCACTGGTTCACTCCCCAAATGGCTGAAACAGCTGAAGCTGGGCCAACCTGAAGCCAGGAGCCAGGCGCTTCTTCTAGCTCTCCCACGTGGGTGCAGGGGCCCAAGCACTCGGGCCACCCTGTGCTGCTTTCCCAGGCCATTAGCAGGGAGCTGGATGGGAAGAGGAGCAGCCAGGACACAAACCCGTGCTTATATGGGATGCTGGCGCTGCAGGCAGGTGGAGGCTTAACCTACTATGCCACAGCGCCAGGCCCTCAGCTAATTTTTGTGAAGAGTGTAAGGTCTGTGTCTGGAATATTTTGGTATTTTTTGTCCAGTAATTCCATCATTTCTTGAAAAGATGCTGCTTTCTCCATCAACCTGCCTTTGCTCATTTGTCAAAAATTAGTTGACTGCGGACGCATCCATGAAGGATCAGAGTGTTCTTGTCACTGGGTACAGGGCCGTCTAAGGATGGCAGATTCTCACCATGCACAGCTTCACTCTCCCTGATTCTAGCCACTCTTAGAAAACACTCTGCTATGTTCTGTTTCAAGGCTAAGTCCTTGGCTTCCCCTCTCCCCCATGCAAGCAGCCGGGGCCGAGCAAGCCAGTCAGAGAGAGGCTCATCTCTGCACCTGCAGCCTCTCCCGAGGGCCCAGCTGCAATGCCGTGGCAAGCTCGGCGCCTGGCTGAGCAGTCTGGGACTGTATCAGAGCCACCTGCAGATGCGCTGTCCTGCCGCATCTTCCGGGAAACCAGCCCCCTTCTCTGCACCCCTAACCCAGACGTCCTCAGCAAGCAGGCGGTCGGTCCTGCTTCAGGCTGCTGATCTGCTGTGGTCCTCGTCTATTAACAGATTAAACTGCCTCGCTCCTTCACCCCCAGACCTTGCCCTCGTTATTTTTTTTTTCAGATTTATTTATTTTTATTTGAAAATCAGTTACAGAGAGGCAGAGGGGGAGGGGTGATTTTCCATTCACTGGTTCACTCCCCAAATGGCCAGGTCACCACCATGTGCTCTTGAGTTTGTCCTTGAGTTAGGGGAGGAAGAGGAGTGGCAGAATTAAGGTTTTGAACCACAGTGGAAAATAATGTGAGGACGAGGAAGCAGAGAACTCCCAGGAGAGGCAAGGTGAGAGGACGAGAAGTAGCGTTTCTCGTAGGAGAGGGGTTTAGACAGCGCGGGGGATGACCTTGAACCCAGCCTGCCGCTGCCTCCACAGCTCTCCAGCAAGAAACTTCAGGTCAGGGTCAGCCCCTGGAGTGGGACTGGGACGGCCGCGGGCACTCTGGCTCCGCTGCGTTTCTGAGACCGGAAGTCTGAAGGTGTCTCCGCTCGTGAAGGGATGGGGCAGGAAAAGGAAGAGTTTGCGAGCCCCAGGATAAGGGTGGAGCCAAAGGCATCCCGGAAATGAATTCCACCGCAGGGGAAGTGAAGGAGTAACCTCTGCTGAGTCAGCCCGTCCGGTGCTTCCTGCTGCAGTTGAGAAACGACCCACCATCCTGCCTGTAGTGAGCCGCTCCGACGCCTTTGAGAAAGATGGGAAAATACTCCTCATCTCCAGGGACTGGGGATTGATGCAGCAATGGATCGGTACAAATAAACCTACTAAAGCAATGTGTGTGTGTCGGGGACAGGAGGCAGATGCTGGCCAAGATGCCTGGAGCCCTTGGTGGAGTGCCTGGGCGCCACGCCCTCCTCTGACTCCTGTGGCTCCAGCTTCCCATCAACGCAGAACTGGAAGGCAGCGGTGACGACTCAAGTGGCGGTGTTCCTGCCACCCGTGTGGGAGGCCTGAATTGAATTCCTGGCTCCCAGCTTCAGCCCCAGACTAGCCGCAGCCATTGTCGGCATCTGAGAAGTGAACCAGCAGATGGGTGGTATCCGTCCATGTATCCATCATCTACCTATCTATCCATCTATCTACCTATCTATCCATCTATCTACCTATCTATCCATCTATCTACCTATCATCTATCCAAGGCCCCTTTTGTTGGAGACCACACATTGCCTCCAGTTTTGAAGAGCGTTGTGCCGGTTGAGGGAGAAGCATCTTCGAAATCACTGCTTCCCAAATGCGTCCCGTGCCCATCTCCCTTGACCCCAAACTGTGTCAGGAATGGGAACTGTGGGGAGCAATCCGGACTAGACTAAGTTACTCGAATTAAGACTTATTCTATGCATCTGCTCTCCCACAATATGGCGCTGGGAGAGAAGTAAACAGCTTCCGCACAGCTGCCTCCAGTTCAACTAATAAACTGTAGGACTTGCTCCTGATTGGAGGAGAGCAGCGTACTCGGCGTGTGGGCAGCCGAGTTAGGATTGGCGGAGGAGGACTATAAAGGAGGAGAGAGACGGCATGCACCAGGAACATCTAAGGGGAACATCTAGCTGAAGGAACACCTGTGCAGCCCCCGAGAAGAGCCGGCCGGCGGTGTGCCGCTCCCCTGCGGAAGTGGGGAATGCGGCCAGGGGGAACTGCCCTTCCACGGAGGTGGAAGGGATAGTAGCCAACCCGGGAAGAACCAGCAGCAAACCCGGGGAGGGCCGAGCAGACGAAAGAACAGCGCAGGGTCCTGTGTCGCTCCTCCACGAAGAGGGGGAGCGACAGGAACAAATCTGTCCCAAGCATGAGGACTATCAGTGACCTGAGGAGCCGTGAGAGGCCAGGGATGCTTGGGTGACTTCCCAGAGCCGTCAGAGAGAGCACGGATGGGTGGGTGAGGGAAGCGGCTGGGGCTTCGCAGGTTAGTCCTTTGCCCGAGTGTTAATACCTAAACTGGAAATGAAATCCCCGCCCTGTAGACTGAAAGACAGGGAAGCATAACCAAGAAAAGCTATGTTGGGTATTGCGGGGTTTGAGGCGCATGAAAAGGGTTTTGAAAGGATGAATTGTATGGTGAATGACCTAACCCCCCATGGTGATCGTTTGTGTACCCCGTAGAATATAGTGGGTAGCAGGAGGTGAATCCCGGAGTTGGGAAAGCAGGCACAGGTCCCTCAGGGGAAGTCATTGGTGCTCCTGTAGTTATTGTTTTTAATTCCTTCCAAGCCAGACACATGAGACCAGACCTCATCCCACTCCCTGGGATGCCCACATGCCGTGTCATAATGCCTGGTTCAAGTGCTGGCTACTCCACTTCTGATTTAGCTCCCTACTGATGCACCTGGATGCAGCAGATCATGTGGGAGACCTGGCTGGAGTCCCAAGATCCTAGCTTCAGACTGGCCCAGACCCAGCTGTTGTGGGCCTTTAGGGAGGGAACCAGTGGATAGAAGATCTCTCTCTCCCTTTCAAATAAAATAAATCATTTTTTTTAAAGTGGACATTCTTTGGGGATGATGCTGTGGAAGATGGCTCAAGTCCTTGGGCCCCTGCACCCAGGTGGGAGACCAGGAAGAAGCTCCTGGCTCCTGGCTTTGGACTGGCCCAGCCCCAGCCTTCACGGCCATTTGAGGATTGAACCAGTAGATGAAGACCTCTCTCTCTCTCTCTCTGTTTCTCTGTCTCTCTCTCTCTTCCTATTTCTGTAACTCCGCCTTTCAAATAATTACGTAAATCTTAAACTAACTAAACAGATGTTGTCACCTTCAGAGCCGTCACTGTTAAAGCTGTCTGTTCCATTCTGGCTCATGCCTCAATTTTTGGTTTCAAGGTGAGGGGACACAGCTCAGTCCCAGCTGTCATCCATAGATCGGATTATTCTTGCACATCCATGGCACAGCTGGTCAGTCACTATCTAGCCGAAACCAGCTCAGGCCAGCTTGGTGGTGAAACCTCTGAAAACAACTTAAACAGTGGTTTACAGGTGGGCATTTTGCATAGCAATCAAGACACCCAGCTCCACTTCTGATTCCAGCCAATTCCAACTTCCCGCTAATGAACTCTGTGAGACAGCAGGGCTGGTGAGCAGCTGGGTCTGTTCCACCCCCTTGAACGACCCAGGTCAGTTTCAGGCTCCTGGCTTGGCCCAGCCCTTGCTGTTGCCGGCATCTGGGGGGTAAGCCAGCCAACACATGGAAGATTTCGCTTTCTGTCTATCCCGGTCTCTCTGTCTTTCAAAATAAAATGAAAATAAATTTAAAAAAAATTTAATGTGAGATTTTATTTAAAAAGACAATTGCAGGGGCTGGTGCTGTGGCACAGCAGGTAAAGCCGCTGCCTGCAGTGCCGGCATTCCATATGGGTGCTGGTTCATGGCCCCGGCTGCTCCTCTTCCGATGTAGCTCTCTGCTGTGGCTTGAGAAAATGATAGAAAATGACCCAAGTCCTTGGGCCCCTGCACCCACGTGGAGACCTGGAAGGAGCTCCTGGATCCTGGCTTTCTTTTTTTTTTTTTTTTTTTTTTTGACAGGCAGAGTGGACAGTGAGAGAGAGAGACAGAGAGAAAGGTCTTCCTTTGCCGTTGGTTCACCCTCCAATGGCCACCGCGGCCGGCGCGCTGCGGCCGGCACACCGCGCTGATCCGATGGCAGGAGCCAGGAGCCAGGTGCTTTTCCTGGTCTCCCATGCGGGTGCAGGGCCCAAGCACCTGGGCCATCCTCCACTGCACTCCCGGGCCACAGCAGAGGGCTGGCCTGGAAGAGGGGCAACCGGGACAGAATCCGGCGCCCCGACCGGGACTAGAACCCGGTGTGCCGGCGCCACTAGGCGGAGGATTAGCCTAGTGAGCCGCGGCGCCGGCCTTGGATCCTGGCTTTCAACCAGCCCAGCTCTGGCCGTTGTGGCCATTTGGGGAGTGAACCAGTGGATGGAAGACTTCTCTCTTTCTGCCTCTGCCTCTCTGTAACTCTGCCTTTCAAATAAATAAATAAATAATTTTTAAAAGATTTTATTTATTTATTTGAGAGGTAGAGTTACAGACAGTGAGAGGGAGAGATAGAGAGAAAGGTCTTCCTTCTGTTGGTTCACTCCCCAAACGGCTGCTATGGCCAGCACTGGGCTGGTCGAAAGCCAGGATCTAGGAGCTTCTTCCAGGTCTCCACGTGGGTGCAGGGGCCCAAACACTTGGGCCATCTTCTACTGCTATCCCAGGTCATAGCAGAGAGCTGGATTGGAAGAGGAGCAGCCAGGACTAGAACTGGTGCCCATATGGGATGCCGGCGCCATAGGCAGAGGATTAACCCCACTGCGCCACGGTGCCGGGCCCTAAATAAATCTTTAAAAAAAAAAAAAAGGCAATTTCAGTAGACAGGACATTCAAGTCATAAGATCTAGAAGCATCTGAAAAGGCTGGGGGTGGGGTGGAAGGCATTTCTCTTCCCGAGAGGAATAAATAAGGCCAGAAAGAACTACTTTCGGGTGGGGTGAGCAGGTGCGATCATCTGCACAGGAAATGTTTTTCTTTGCAGTCCACTGCTCCTCAGAAGGGGACGTTGCCAAGGCTGTTCTGCATTCTGCATTGCTGAAGCTCAAGGATGCATTCAAGTTCAAGGGCCTGGAGGGAGGAGAGAAGCCTGAATAAACTTTGGTCAAATCATGTTAGCTCATTTTTTGGGGTTATATTCTTTTCTGTTAATTTGTAGATTCATATCATTATTTTAATTTCATTTATGGGTGGTTTATTTTGTGAGACCTTTGATATACGGGGAAAAATATTCATAATACTACTAAGCATTAATTTCTTAATTAATTGTAATTTCCCACCAAATGTTGAAACTGTTGATTGTTTTCTCCTCATTGTTGGGGATGAAAGGTTTGACGTTCGTTGTACCAACGTGCTTTTGTAACTGACACTCTCCCTTCTCTTACCCTGAAATCTCTCTCTCTCTCTTTTAAAGATTTGTTTTATTTATTTGAAAGACAGAGTTACAGAGAGAGGTGGAGAGAGAGAGGTCTTCCGTCCACTGGTTCACTCCCCAGAGGGTCGCAACGGCCAGAGCTGCGCCGAACCGAAGCCAAGAGCCAGGAGCTTCCTCTGGGTCTCCCACGTGGGTGCAGGGGCCACGTGGGTGCAGGGGCCCAAGGACCTGGCCCATCTTCTACTGCTTTCCCAGGCCACAGCAGAGAGCTGGATCCGAAGAGGAGCAGCCGGGACTAGAACTGGCGCACATATGGGATGCCAGCGCCTCAGGCCAGGGCTTTAACCCGCTGTGCCGCAACACCGGCCCTGAAATCTCCTAAGCACTGCCCTTTAGACATGTCCAATCTACAATTTTACCATCAGAGTTGAGTGGTTGACAGTTCAGTTATCATTATTATATTCAGCAGATTTTACAGTCTGAAACTTAGATCCTTGTTCACCATAGAAAATATCTTCTGAAAAATGTTCTCTTCTTTGGCTTTTCTTTCTTCTTGGATCTCTATAATTAGATAAATTCTCAGATCTTTTTTTACAAAAGTGACCCCTCTTTCCCACCAGAAAAGACAGGAATTGATGTTGTCCAATTTATTCTTCTAATATGAAAAGTCTTATTTACTTTTGATTTTTTAAATTTTTTAAGGTTTATTTATTTATTTGAAAGACAGAGTTAGAGAGAGGCAGAGTTGGAGAGAGAAAGAGAGTGGTCTTCCATCCACTGGTTCACTCTCCAAATGACCACAACAGCCGGAGCTGCACTGATCTGAAGCCAGGAGCCAGGAGCTTCTTCCGGGTCTCCCACATGGGTGCAGGGACCCAATGGCTTGGGCCATTGTCTGCTGCTTTCCCAGGCCTTAGCAGAGAGCTGGATTGGAAGTGGAGCAGCTGGGACCCAAACGGGTGCCCATATGGGATGCCAGCACTGCAAGAGGTGGCTTTACACACCTACAGCGCCTGCCTCTTTTTAATTTTTTTAAGATTTATTTGTTTATTTGAAACTTTTGATTCTTAGCATGGCTCAGAATTTTACAAGGCCGGCGCCGCGGCTCACTAGGCTAATCCTCCGCCTTGCGGCGACGACACACCAGGTTCTAGTCCTGGTCGGGGCGCCGGATTCTGTCCCGGTTGCCCCTCTTCCAGGCCAGCTCTCTGCTGTGGCCAGGGAGTGCAGTGGAGGATGGCCCAAGTGCTTGGGCCCTGCACCCCATGGGAGACCAGGAGAAGTACCTGGCTCCTGGCTCCGCGGCGGCCATTGGAGGGAAAAGGAAGACCTTTCTCTCTGTCTCTCTCTCTCTCACTGTCCACTCTGCCTGTCAAAAAAATAAAAAATAATAATAATAAAAATAAATAATTTTACAATATTTCTTAAATCCAATCTTTAAAAATGGGACACCATTTTTTACCATGTTAAATTTATATTATTTTATTATTCACCCATTAATATAAATGTCATTTTTTCATAATTCTTTCATTCCCATGGCTTTGTTTCTTTGAATTACATATTCACATGCAACTCAATTTCACTTTTTCAATCATTATCACTTCATAATATATTATGCTAGGAAAGATAAGGATTTTCTTTATGATTCATTCTTTTCAAAGTATTACGATCTCCATCTCAAATATTTAATTACTATTTCCATTAAATGTAGAAGTTCCCTTTCAAGTATCAAAACACAGCTCCCATGTGGATGTCTAGCCTAGGGTCAGCACACCCACGTCCCACATCGGAGTACCCGATTCCAGTCCCTGGCTCTGGATCCCGACGCTGGCTTCCTACCAACACAGATCCTGGAAGGTGCTGGTAATGGCTAAAGTAACTGGGCTCCTGACCCCACACCAGAGAGCTGGAACCAGCACCACTTTGGCCATGTTGAACATTTCTTTTAGGGCCGGCGCCATGGCTCAATAGGCTAATCCTCCACCTGCGGCGCCGGCACCCCGGGTTCTAGTCCCAGTCGGGTCGCTGGATTCTGTCCCGGTTGCCCCTCTTCCAGTCCAGCTCTTTGCTGTCGCCCGGGCTTCAGATTGTCATGGTGTGCCAGCCGCAGCGCGGCGGCCACTGTGGGGTGAACCAACAGAAAAGGAAGACCTTCTCTCTGTTTCTCTCTCTCACTGCTCTCTCTGCATTTTCTTTCCCTTTTTGGTCTACCTCTATATTTTATAGAACCCAGACTAAAGTCCACGTGTGTTCGTGTCTTGTCTAGTTTTCAACACGTTTGCATGTCCCCTACGTTAACGCACCCAGGAGATGAAGACCTGTGTCTCTGGAGTCAGGCTCAAGTTCCACTTCTGGTTTAGCTGCCTACTCGCTTGTCTTGGACTCCAAACGCCTCATGACACACAGCCTTGCTGTGAGCTTTAATGAGAAAATAAGACAACCTAGTAACAAGTACCCAAGGTGTCTGTTTTATGGTAGGAGCTTTTCTTGTGCCGCTCCTTTTGTTTACCACTGGACACAGGGCCATCCATGCCACGAAAGCTGGGCAGAGCAGAGAGCCAGTTCTAGACCTCTGGCTGTGAGGGTCTGCTTCCCTGAAACCACTCGTGGTACCAAGAACCGTCTCCCAGCTGCAGCTCAGTCAGGGACATGGAGCCACTGTGGTGTTCCAAGACAAGTGCTTTACGGTAAGAATTAGGAGTTTGACTCCTAACTTCGGGAGTTTGACTGCAAAAAAAAAAAAAAAATCTGAAGATTTGGGTTCTGCTTTCAGACTCATCATTCACTTGGCCCTCTAAGCTTTCGGCTCCTCCTACTCCAGACACAGATGGTTGCAGCTTCCCCCGGGGCTGCTGGGAGCATTCATTGGAATGTATACGCCAGAGAACAGCTCGTAAATTCTAAAGTGCTAGAGAAAGTTTACTATTACCAGTTCCTTTGAGACTCTCAGGTTAAAAGGTCGATGTCCAGATATCCCCCAAACAAACAAGACGCTGCTTCAACTTCTGGGCAGACGCAGCAGGCTCATTAAAGATAACCGAGACCCAGAGGAAGTCGTGTCCTACTGGAGACGCAGCTGCGAGACAGCAGGCGGCTGGACAGTGGTAAGAGGAAAACAGACGGGTACCTGGGGACGAGGCAAGGGCTACTGGGCCAGGCGCGCGGCGCCGAGGCGAGACGCAGCTCGGGGTGCCTCCGTCTTCCATCAGAGGGCCCAGGTTTCAGCCCCAGCTCCACCTTCTAACGTGCACCCTGGGAGACAGGAGGGGACGGCTTGAGTGGATGGGATCCGGCACCCATGGGGGAGGCCCAGATCGGGTTCCTGGTCCCCAACTTCGCCGGTCCGGTCCTAGCTGGCCAGTGCAGGCATCTGGGGAGTATCAGCAATGGGAGTGTCTCCTCTCTCGCGCTCTGTCTTGACTTTTATTCCCTCCTGGTGAGCGAGCTCTTTCTCTGTGCACAGGGCTAATCAATCATCCTAAGCCAGGTTCCACCTGTCCCTCGTTGCCAGCTTGGATCCCACCCCACGCCCACGCCGGGAGGGGAATCGTTCCCCATCAGACCTCAGTGTCAAACACCTTTCAGCCACATTTGAGGAGCGAAGAGGTTTTAGAACACGCAGTCCTGGGGCTAACTTTGCCACTGTTAAACTTAGCCATCTCTGCTCCCTAGGCCGGAGTCACTATCCCAAAGAGTCAGACCGGCGTTGTCTTTTTGGGAATTGTACTTCTGTAGAATTCTGTAGAATTCTGACAGGCAATGGGCACAAAGCTCAAAAAAAGGGGGGTGGGGATATATATATATATACATATGTATATATACACACACATATATGTATATATATATACACATATGTGTGTGTATGTGTGTGTATAATAAAAGTGACAAGAACATCCAAAGTAGCAAGTGGAAAAGCAATAAACAAAGTCATAGTCTAAAGGCATGTGATGTGTAGTTTGTTGACTGATTATTTGTATTAAACATAATAATAAAATCTGCTTTTTTTAAGATTTATTTATTTGAAAGTCAGAGTTACACAGAGAGAGAAGGAGAGGCAGAGAGAGACAGAGAGAGAGAGAGAGAGAGAGAGATCTTCCACCCACTGGTTCACTCCCCAATTGGCCACAACGCCCAGAGCTGGGCCGGTCCAAAGCCAGGAGCCAGGAGCTTCTTCCAGGTCTCCCACACAGGTGCAGGGGCCCGAGGCGTGGGCCATCTTCTACTGCTTTCACAGGCCATAGCAGAGAGTTGTATTGGAAGTGGAGCAGCTGGGACTTGAGCCAGCACCCATATGGGATGCCGGCACTGCAGGAGGTGGCTTTACCTGCTAGGCCACAGGTACTGGCCCCAAGCTGCTTTACATATAATGTCCTATTTGGAAAACTCTAACTTAAAAAGCCCATTGAAGGCAGAGGCAGATTTATTTTTAAAGATTTATGTCTTTATTTGAAAGGAAGAGTTACACAAACAGAGGGAGGGAGGGAGGATGAGAGAGAGAGAGAGAGAGAGAGAGAGAGAGAGAGGTCTTCCATCCCCTGGTTCACTCCTCAAATGGCCACAGAAGCTGAGGCTGAGCCAGGCTGAAGCCAGGAGCGTGGGACTTCGTCCAGATCTCCCACACAGGTGCAGGGGCCCAAGCACGTGGGCCAACTTCCGCTGCACACAAATGTATCGAGCCAATGTTCTGGAAGTTTCCTCTGTCTGGGACTCAGCAGCCCAGTCTTCCTTGCGCGATGTTTGGATTAAGTTGACACGGTTTGCAGTGAAAATGTTGTGGGTGGGGACAAAAA